AGTCAGGCAAGTTTCAGTCAAGATGGAAAATTATTAGCAGTAGAAGAATTAAACTTAGAATGAAATCATTTGTGTGTCTGGGGTCAGGGGCATTACCATTGCAGCCGTAGTATTTACTATCCAACACAAAAATAAAAGAAGTAGTTCTGAAGCTACACTGCCTACCAATGAAAATAAGAATCATGATGACAGTTACACTGGCATAAAAAACAAACCAATTCGGTGATTTATGACTAAATAAACTGGGTGTGTTTGTTAAGGTTGGTACATTGTCTATGCCACAGCCACACTGAGAAAAGTTGCAGAAGGTGGAACAAAACTGCGTGAAATGCCGTAAGAGTGCCAGTAACTGAACTGACAGTGCTCTTTTCTTATGTCTGTATGACAGTCACTCACAAAAAGCCTATTCCAGCAAAACCTGATTGTAAAAACTAGCAAAGAGATACAAAACAGTCCTAGACTTTAGGCTGAGGGTGATCCCACACTGTTGCTTCTGCTTCTCCGTTTAACTGCATCTATGTGCACACAAACAAGTGAAAACGAGTAAGTCAGAGTGAGGATTCAGAGGGAAGCAGCTGTTCTGTGCTCACTGCTAATCCATGCTGTTCAACCCATGGTCAATGTATGCAAAATAGGAGTTATCACACAACAGCTACAGCTTAGAAAGCCAAATTCAAGTTTATCTCTAAGTAACTTGTTTCTGTAGCCACTCTGTGAATTTCTTTTCTAGACTTGCTACCAGTTTTAACATCGACTAGTTTGATTATCACCAAGAATTTCTGCTTTTTGCTGATCTCCCTTCATCCAAACTGTAAGAATACAAGGATTTTGACAGACCACGGAAGAACAACCTTCTGCGACTGCTTTTGATGTCATGTTTTAAACAGCATTTCTTATTTCCTTTGATTTGACCTCAGCACTAACGGAACACAGAAAAAGGAAGTGGTGCAAACAGCTACTTTAATTGTCAAAATACTTACTTATGATGACTGCTGCTGTGACGATGATGATGGTGGTGATGGTGGTGGTGTTTTGAATGATGCTGGTCTTTCTCAGTAAGTGATGAGGATGAAGAGTTAGAATGTGAAGATCCTAGGCTCTTCCTCTGTTCTTTTGTCTTCTGTAGCACTCTCTTGTAGGACAGCGTGCAGAGCCAACACAACAACTTCCCATCAACCTTTTGGGAAATAATTCACAGCAGTGTTTTTTTTCAAGTATATGTGTGCTAGAAAAGAAGTACTTAAATATTTGTGACAAAAATTTGTTTCACTTCATCTGTTATCTCTGGGAAAAATCCAGACATCTCTTTGGACGTATGGAATGGTACTACCACATCTTCAACGTATGCAGGCTATCTTTTAGTAAAGGGAATTTTATACCATTTCTTTTTGTCATTTAAAGTTACACTAGAAAGCAGTCTTAGCAAACGTTGGACTCGCTCTACATCACAGAAGCGACAGTAACTTTTTAAAGGGACAAATCATTTTTAGTTTAGACACCATGTACCCTCTCTCAACCCATCGTATTCCAGGCAGAATCAAGATGTCCAGCCAACGTGTTACTTGTACCAAGTAAATTCTTCTGTAAAAACAGCATTATTCTTGGGTTCAGGCTTTTGAGGTCATTTCCTCAGCACCTTCTGGAATGAGAAAGTGGCACTCACCAAAGCTATTTAAGAAAACAGAACACAAAGGGCTGCTCAGGGCAGTCTACCTCCCTGCTGTTATACTTTAAGGCAAGGCAGGCAAATTGGAAGAAGTGACAGATCCAAGTTACAGACATACATAAGACTCAACGGATGGGGAAATCAAAATGTAAATAAAATCAAAGCACTGGAAACTATTCAGCTGCTTAACCTCTGTTTCCCAGATACTACTGTCATCTTACACTTAAGCTTATTTTCAAAAAGAGTTATTTAATTTAAAGTAAGTTAGCTCAGTAGCTAACATAACAATTGCAAGTTGCAAAATTTAATTCACAGCAGCTTTAATCTAATATTAGGGAACTAAAGATACATTCCTGCTCATCTTTGTCTTACGAAGGAGGCACATTGTCTGCTGTCAGCCTAATCCATTACAGCTGTGGAACAAAGCCTACCTTCCTCCTTCCCTCCTCTTTCCGATCAAAAGCACACTGCTGTTTGCACTGCTCACACGTCTGAGGTGGGCCGTACTTCTTCTCCGAGTTGGTGCAACGCTGACATTTTGTGCCAATAAATGCTGCAATGATGTTACAATACTGACAAGGCTTGGGCTGAAAAACAGGGAAGTTGAACTGAAGTTAACAGATGCAAGAGTTTCTGTCATGAACACGGGTATTTCAAATCACACAGCGATGCTTCTAAACTAGTAGGGCTTCATGTAATCTATCTCCGAGAACCTTTTTTCTATCATTTCTCTCTTCAGTGCTAAACTTTTCCCCTAAAATGATGCTCCTTCAATGGTCAAAAACCGCCTGGACTTTCCACAAAAACTCAGGTACATACTCAATGAAAGAAACACATACAATGTGATTGCTCACCTCTACCCTTGCCTCTTTTAATTTTTTTTTAAAATACGATGACATTTCCTCTCTATTTTACTTTATTGCTAAGAAATTTCTTAATAAACTTTGGAAGAAGAGTAATCAAGTCATTTTTTTTAGACTAGAAGTTTCTGAACACATCCCCCTCCCTTGTACTACTCAGGGATTTGATAACCCTACAGCTCCAAGATTAGTATCCTGATCCCTGCAACTCTGCAGGAAACTTTAAAAAAAAAAAACAACAAACAACAACAACAAACTTCAGATACCATCATGTCAGGTTACCAACTTTTATATCATACACTCAACTAGAATAATACGCTGCTGGAAAATAAAATTGCTGTCAGTTTTCATAGGTTAGAAATGGCTTATTATCTTCAGTGCAGTTCTATTTTTTTTTGTTATGAGTTACTGATAAAAAACATTGTTGAATCTGTCCTGCACTTCATTTTGCCACATTTTAATCTTTCAAAAGAACGTTCTTTGTTCAGTTTACGTTTACATTCACAAAATGCCTGACTACATACCAACAGCTGTTATGTTTCTCAAATAAGCTGAATTTAATCTAATATGGTTTATGTCAAGTATATAAAAATTATGCTCTTTTGTTTCACAACAAGATTATCTTGATACCTCCTATAAAGTAGTACCTGCAGGGCGCTCAGATACACTGTGTATTCGTACATTAATAAAAATAATTTGTCTACCAGAACTGAAGCTGAAATTCAAGACAAGAAAATGCCAAGTAACACACAGACAGCTAATATTTGTAACATCTTTTCTACCTAATATCTTAACATGATTAATATGCATTTAAATATTTGTTAAGACTTACATAATATAAGTGGTGCTATTGGATTTTCACATTTACCACTTATTAAGAATACAGTCAGCTAACAGCCTTGCTGCCACAACGTGTGCATTTATGACAAGACGTAGAGATAACTTTACAGGCATAAAGTGAAATAATATTGCTTTTGCTATGAATAGCTACATTATTCACAACTGTTAAGCTACGTATAATCACAATGGAGTGCAATGTGGGAAAAAAAAAAAAAAACAAACAGAAATTTTGGGCCACGAAGGAAATCAAGAGCTGCCTGTAACTTTCCTCACCTTTCTGAAAAGTTTTTTTTTTTTTCCCCTCAAAAGAACACAAGAAGCGGAGTTGTGAGACAACTTGTTTGTTTGTTTGTTTAACATGTGAGTGAACTTAACTTCAACATTTAGGACCGAGAGCCTACTCACCGTTCCAAACTGCTTGACGTTTTGGGCACACTTCTTGCATATCGTGTTCGTTTTGCTGTAGACAAAATTGCACAATGTTGAATCCGGCGACAAACACGCCCCCGGACACCCTTTCCCCTGCAATTACCGGTCACCACAGGGGCCGGCACAGCCCGTGGCCAGGGGGTAACGGGAAAGCGACCGCATCTAAGGTCGTGCTCGGGTCTAACGCGACCCCAAGGTGCTGCTGGAGCGGGGAGGGGGGTGGGGATGGGGGGGGGCAGGGTATTTTCCTGCGGTTCTGCCCTTTTTAGCGTCTCCCGCGGTGTGAATTTCTCCCCTCAGGAGCAGGAAGGGCCGTTCCCTCCCTCCCCACCCCACCCCGAGCGGGCTGGGCGCCCTGCCCTACCTCTCCTGCTGGAACTCGGACCGGCAG